TTTATGGCTGAGTAGCATTTAGTATTCCATCGTATATATATAACACATCTTTATCCATTCATCCATGCAAAAGAATGAAAGTAGACACTTATGTTACACCATATACAAAAATTAACTCAAAATGGATTAAAGACTTGAATGTAAGACCTGAAACCATAAAACTCCTGGAAGAAAATATAGGCAGTATGCTGTTTGATGTTAGTATTACCAAATTTTTTAAAAAAATATTCTAATAGATATGTAATGGTATCTCATTGCACCTTTAATTTGCATTTCCCTAATGACTAATGATGTTGAACATCTTTTCACTTGCTCATTTGCCATTAGTATATCCTCTTTAGTGAAGTGTCCGTTCAAATTCTTTGCCAATACTTTCATTGAGTTATTTTCTTATGATTGAGTTTTGAGAGTTCTTTATAAATTCTAGATTCAAGTCTTTTATCGTATATGTGATTTGAAAATACTTTCTCCCACTCTTTGGCTTGTTTTAGCACTTTCTTAAAAGTGTCTTTTGAAGAGAAGTTCGAAATTTTGATGAAGTCCCGTTTATCAGTTTTTTTCTTTCGTGGATTATGCTTTCACTGTCACATCTAAGAAATCAATCTAAGAAACCTTGCCTAATCCAAGGTCACACAGATTTTTTTCCTATATTTTCTTCTCAAAACTTTATTCATTTACATCTACAATCTATTTTAAGGTAATTTTATATACAGTGCAAAGTACGGATCAAAGTTTTTTTTTCTTTTTTTTGCATATGGATATCCAATTGTTCCAGCATCTTTCTGGAATTGATGCCTTTGCACCTTTCTTGAAAATTAACTGACCATATAAGTAGGGGTCAATTTTTGGACTTTCCACTCTTTCCTTTTGTTCTATATGGCTAACCTTTTGCCAACAAGACACTTGCTTGATTACTATGGCTTTATAGTAAGTCTTGAAGTCAACCAATGCAAACTCTCCAATTTTGTTCTTTTTAAAATTGTTTGCCTATTCAAGTTTCTTTGCCTTTCACTATAAATTTTAGAATCAACTTGCCCATTTCTATGAAAAAAAAAAAGCCTATTAGGATTTTTATTAGGATCTTGTTGAATCTATAAAACAATTTGGGGAAAATTCACAACTTAATGTTGAGTCTTGGAAGACTAGAGTTTATGAATATGGATAACTTTTGATTTATTCAGATTTTTGTTTAATTTCTTTCATCAGTGTTTTGTAGTTTTCAGCACACATATCTTGCACATATTTTTTAGAATTATACCTAAGTATTTCATGATTTTAGTGCTCTTATAAATGGATAAATGGTACTTTTAATTTCAATTGTTCATCAATAGTATATAGAAATATGTTTGATTTTTGTATACTGACCTTATATCCTGGGACTTTGATAAACTCACTTACTAGTTCTAGTAGTTTTCCTTTTGTGTAGTTTATTTGGGATTTTCTGCATGAACAATCATGTCATCTGCAAATAAATGATGTTTTACTTTCTCTTCTCTCACCTGTAGCCTTACTGCACTGGCTAGGGTCTCTACTATGATGCTGAATATGACTGGTGAGATCTATGCTCCCATATTTAAAAGGAAAATATTTACTCTTTTACCATTAGGTAAGATGCTAGCTGTAGGAATGTTCTAGATGCCTGCTATCAGTCTGAGAAAGTTCTCTTCTATTCCAATTTAGCTAAGAGATTTTTTATCACAAATGGATGCTAAGTTTCATCAAATGCTTTTTCTGCATCTATTAAGATGATAATATAGATTGTGTTCTTTCACCTTTTGATATATTACCTTGATTGATTTTTGAATGTTGAATCAGTCTGGCATTCCCAGGATAAACTCCACTGGTCGTAACATATTATAGTTTTAAAACACTGTTTTCATTTAATTTAATGCATTGCTTTAATACATGGTTTAATTTAGTCTATCTTGATAAATTTTCCACATGCACTTAAAAAGAATGTGTATTCTGCTGTTGTTGAGTGTTCTATAAACGTCACTTTGATCAAGTTGGTTGATAGTGTTCTTCAAGACGTCTGTATCCTTACTGGTTTTGTCTACTCATTTTATCAATTATTGAGGGAGGAGTTTTGAAATCTCTGACTGTAAATGACTATTTCTTCTTGCAGTTCTATTCGGTTTGTGTTCATAAAACACTTGAATCTATAATACCCTTTTGAAGAATTGATCCTGCCTAGGTTTCCTCTCACATGCCCGCAGCCTGGAAACTCTCTCCAGGCTCTAAGCTGGCCAGTTGTAGGGTTCACCTCACTCATTTCCCCTGTGTTGCCTGTTGTCCAATGGGTGAAAATATTTGTTTCCTTTTATCACCAGATTTTAGTTGGTGAAAGTTGGAGGGTAAATCCAACCCGTATTACTCCATCTTGGCCAGAAGTGAGAATCCTGAAGGCAATAACTGAGCATAGACCTATAGGAGATGAGGGAGCAATAGCTGTGAAAAAATACTCCAGAGAGAGGAAACTCTGAGATGGGAGTGCACCTGGCAAGTCCGTGGAGCACCAAGGAGGCCAGTGTGGCAGGAGCAAAGAGTGAGGAGAGTAGCAAGAGATGAGGTGAGAGATCTTTTAGTCCCTCTCAGGCCTCTGGCTTACTCTGAGCATGATGGGAGCCTCTATAGAGTGTTAAGCAGAGGAGCAACATGCTCAGACTTCTGTCTTGAAACATTCACTCTGTCTACAGTGCTAACAACAGACTGTAGAGGGTCAAGAGTAAGAGCAGACATATCAGGTAGGAGGCTAAGAGTACCTGCAAGAAATTATGGCAGTTGGACCAGGATGGCAGCAGTGGAGATAGTGAGAATTGTACAGATTCTGGTTATAACCTGAAGATAGAATCAATAGGATTTGCTGACAAATCCTTTGAGGGTTGAAAGAAAGAAGACAACCATGATCTAGTGTTCTTTGCACTATAGTGTATCATATTTATCTTTTACATTTTCACAGAAAAGTTTGGGGGTTAGCTCTCCTCTTATTGAGGCTCTGTCTAGAGACTGAGCACTGGGTGTGTATTTGATATTTTTTCTCCTATTCCTTTTCCAGTGGTGCAGCCACATACCAGCTCCTGTGAATATTTCTTGGGTATAAGAATTAAAGCATATGGGACTTTCTTTTCAAATTGGCTAAGAGTTGAATTGCAGTCCTCTGCCATGGGCCTGGTGCAGATGTGGCTTAGAGTAGCCAGCCTTTGGATTTCTGAGGGTGGGGGTTGCAGAATATGTATTTAAATTAATATACAAGATGCCCTCCCTTCACTCCCATTCTTAAAATAGAGATCCAGCTTGCCTTATCACTCACAAAGTTGTTTGACAAATAGCTTAGCCTAGGTCCCAGATTCCTGGGTTGTAGCACTAATAGGTGAGGGAACCAGTCCTACAGCAGGCAGAATCTGAACTTGGTTGGTATGGACCTGACTCAACTTGCCTCTGGCTTTACATAAAGCCCTAAGTTGGATTGGGTTTTACCTCAGCAAAACTCCAGCCACTGGCAGCCTTGAGCAGCTTCCAGGAGAAAGAAGTTGAACTTGACAGGTGAGCTTTACATGTAAGCAGAGGAAGGTTCTAAAGCTGAAGAATATACCTCAGTCAGCAAATGTCTCACTCACACTTAGACCAAGCTGAACCACTCAGAACTACATGTCCCAGAATTCTGTGGGGTAGGAGGGCAGCAGGCAGTGGAGAAGTCCATAAATCCATAATCCATTAGAGACTGCTCGGACTCTGGCTTCTTTATGAAAGAGAGGGGACAGAAAGACTTTTTTAATCTCTAAGACCCCAAAAGAATCAGGGTCTCAAGATTTGGGAAGATTAAGTCTTCATAGTGAAGATTAGGTGGCTAAGAACCATAGACAACCAGGAAAGGGCTTCCAGGGTCTAGAATGTAACCAGAGGAAGAAAGGTTACACATTGGAAAAGCAGAATAAATACACTATAGCCCCCACGAGCCCCGCAGTGGATCAGTCATAGAGAAAGAAGGAAACAGTCTATGCACCCTGCAGGCAAATCTAGGGCCTATGCTTTGACCTGCTGCTGCAAAATTAGGAGGGTCTGATCTTGGGATTTTATCTCCATTATTAACATCATCATCATCACCATAAATAGCATCAAGATTATTGGCATCATAATTGCCTTTAATCAATGTGACCCACCAGCCAACCTCTTCCAAGCAGACCAATCACAGGCCACCTGGTACAGTATTAGATGCCCACAGATGCTGATCAACCCTGAGCACAGTGCTTGATAAATGATTTTAGCTCAAAAAAGAACTGGTAAGAGTGACATTCACAATGATGATATCATCCACAAAACAAACACAGAAAATATAGTATTTCAATCAAATGCAAAAAAAAAAGGGTAGTATTTTTTTTAATGGAAAAACAGCTATTTTTACCTCTTATTGAATGGCTGTTTTGTTCCAGGCACTTGATTTAATTCTTTCAAGCTTTATAACAACACTATGAAGAAAATTCCCCACGTTTACAGAGATATTAAGTCACATAACTAGTGAGTGGCAGAGGCAGGATTCCAACCCAGATCTGTCAGATTCCAAGGTTTACGCTCTTAATCACTGGGCTAAACAAGTTTGCAATAGATTTAGTTTTAGTTTTTAGAGAGAAGCCAAGAAACATATTCCTTTAAGAGTCCTACCCTGGGTCTTCCCTGAATTCTTCTACATGGACCAGACATAGGAAACGGGTGTGAGAAAGGCTTTGGCAGACGTCTATGCTACTAGCCTCCCCTCTTGTAGCAAAGGTCGCAAGCCCCACTCTCCATGAGTACACCTGCATCTCAATGTGTCCTCATACTGGAAGGTGGGCCGGTACCAGCCTTTCTGCAATCATCTCAAAGATGAGAATATGAAGAAGTTGGAAGGTAAACATGGACAGAGGTGGAATTAGGTTTGATTGGAAATGAATCAGTCCATCCCACAGATGGCAGCACCCACACATTATAAGCTATATAAGGGCCACTATCTCAATCCACTGTCACCCTGCAAGCTGCATCAGGCTTTATCCTACTTGTTCCTTTGGTGAACCAGGTGAGAGAAAACTCATCCACAACACTGATGGATATTTGGTTGGTTGTTGTCCATGGCAGAAATCGAGGAGCATGAGCTAAGGCAGAGTTAATATATGTTAGGCCTTTCTACTCACTATTCTTTCTTTCTTTTTTCTTCTTTTCATTCTGTTTACTTACTTCTTTGGTTAGTTTAGTTTATTCTGCAGTCTTTTTTTTTTTTTTTTGGTGAGGAAAATTAGCCCTAAGCTAACATCTGTTGCCAATCCTCCTCTTTTTTGGCCCAGGGCCAATCTTCCTCAGCATCTGTGCCCATCTTCCTCTACTTTATATGGAACACTCATAGCATGGTTTGATGAGCTGTGCGTAGGTCTGCACCGGGGTCTGAACCCGTGAACCCCAGGCCGCCAAAGTGGAGCACGCGAACTCAACCACCACGTCACTGGGCCGGCCCCTATTCTGCAGTCTTTTCAGAATAAATTTGTTGTTGTGGAGAAGAATAATGCAAGTAGAAGTTTGTCTTCTTCTAGGCCATTCCACAATCTAGGAAGCTAGTCTTTTCACATGCCATCTTTTCTGGGTTGTCCAGCTCAAATATGGAGGAGACCAGCACTATCGTAGAGTCCCTTCCTTGTCTGGTGTTAGTTCCCAGAGCTCCAAGATCTAATCATCCACTAGTCAAAGTACTGCCTGCATCATTGAGACTTTCTTCCTGATTACTGAAAGAGAACAGTGTTTGGTCAAGGCTGAGATTAGGATGGTTTCTGAGGTCTGATGAGGGCTATCTCATGCCTCTGAGGCATCAGGATAGCATTGGCCCACTCTGCCCATTTTTTATTTGCTGAAGGCTTTAATAGTCCAGTTCAGCTTCTAGTGCCCAGAGGGGAAGTAGGTTTGCATGGCAGAAGGTCTGGCACTTTTGACTCAAGAAAAGCAGTGAAATTAGCAAGAGATACTGGGCAATACACCTAGGTGGTTTGGGAAACTTTGGAAACTCCAGGACAACACCAGGGACACTAAAGTGTACCAAGTATAGAGGCATTACGTAAAGAATATTTTCATCCAGGACATGGAGATATGAGATCTAGTCCCAGTTCAGCCAGTAACATCCCATGACTTGATCTTAGCAAAGTCACTCAAAGTTTAAAAAGTTAATTTTCACTGTGTTGAAAGGTGTTGTATCATCCCTTACTTGTTGAGGCATTTTTGGTTTAAAAGAGACAAGAGATTTGAAAAATCATGATGATTATTATTAAAATCAGAACTCCTTATAAGTTAAAAGGAAATAAAATGAATGATAGGGTCTTTTTATTTCCTCTTCAGGTTCACTCAAACTTGCAAAAAGATGAGCAACCTCCTGAGAAATGTTGTCACTGTCATTGACGTTTTCTACAAATACACGAAGCAGGATGGGGAATGTGGCACGCTGAGCAAGGATGAGCTAAAGGAACTTCTGGAGGAGGAGTCTTGTCTAATTCTGAAGGTGAGGACCACGTGCCAGGAGTAAAGGCTGCTAGGGTCCTACATTCTCTGCCATGTCACCAAAGATTAGGTAAAAAGTGCCCAGTCCCAGTGGTCTTTGAGCAAACTCTGCAAGCAGTACTTTTTTGGGACATCAGAAAGTGTTGAGGCAGCATTTATTTTTAGAAAGGTGAATGTGTTTTCCTTACTTTTCTGTGCACTCCCACCTTGTAGACATCAGATTTTTTCATGCCCCCAGGTTTCCCATTCTGAAAAAGCAGAATATAATTTATGCTAAGACATGAATTAATAAATTATCATATCAAATGAGGAAGAAAAAGTTTAGAGAGGGAAATCATCTACAAGGGGAGTTGACCAAGTAGCCAGGATGACTAAAAACTGAAAACAAAATACACGCAATTTTTTCCATCTACTTGGGAAGGACTCAGCTATTAACTTCAAAATTAAAGATCCTAACATAGACTATATTAGCATGTAATGTTTAAAATGTATGTCAAACTAAAACACACCAGGTACTGAACTTTGTTTACTCAACTCCTTCCTGTATGCCATACCTGAGTGCCTAGTCCTCTAGCTTAGGTCCTTGAAATGTATTCTTCTGAAGATCCCAATAATCTTTATTCTTTTCTATTACCTCTTCACACCTGCTGGATCCTATTAGACTGCCTTAGCCTAAAGTAATCCTTGGGTGGATTAAAAACACCTAATGTTGGGGCCCGCTCGGTGGCATAGCAGTTAAGTTGCATGCTCTGCCTCAGCAGCCAAGGGTTCGCAGGTTCGGATCCTGGGCACGGACCAACGCACCACTTGTCAAGCCATGCTGTGGCAGCGGCCCATATAAAGTAGAGGAAGATGGGCATGGATGTTAGCCCAGGGCCAATCTTCCTCAGAAAAAAAAAAAAAACCTAATGTCAAACATCCACAATCCCACAGCCCTACATGAATATTTTAGCTGAGTATGTGGGCTAAGCTGACCAGGTCTCCTTTGGTGTATTGCTTGTATACAGAACCCAGATGATCCAGACACAGTGAAAGTCATCATGCATATGCTGGATCGAGATCATGACCTAAGACTGGACTTTACTGAGTTTCTTCTCATGGTGTTCAAGCTGGCTATGGCCTGCAACAAGGTTCTCAGCAAAGAATACTGCAAAGCTTCAGGGTCAAAGAAGCACAGGCATGGTTGCCAATACCAAGATAAAGAAAGTGAAACAGAAGAGGAAGAAAAGAATACATCAGGACAGAGATCAGGTTACATATATTCAAGTTGCAGTGAGGGAGAGGAGCATGGTTACAGTTCTGAGGGATTGAGGGGAACTGCAAAACACAGACATGGGTCTAACTCCAGGGGGCTGGGAAGGCAAGGTGGTTTCTCTAGCTCAAGGAACTAAGAGGGATCTGAGAAAAGGTGCCGTGGGTCTACCTCTGGTCACTCATGGAGTAGTAGCAAAGAAAGACATGGCTTCAGCTCTGGAGATCTTGGGAAAAGAAGAAACAAGTCACATGTTAGCCCCTCTAAGGAATCTGGGGAGGAATATGAATCTGGGTGTGGATCAAAGAGTGGGAAAAGGAAAGGTCATGGTGGTCTGTCACGTGGATCGGATGCTAGTGGACATGAATCAAACTCTACTCAGTCAAGGGGTAGAGGACAAAAGCTTGGGTCTAGCTCTAGAGGTTCGGGAGACAGTAGAAGGCAAAGCCATGCATGTGGTTCCAGCAATTTAGGTGGGTGTGGAGGGTCACAAAATGCTTCTAATTCTTGTCAGGCAGGTAGATTTGGAGGGCAAAGAAATCAATCTAGCTGTACCCAGTCATGTTATCAATTAGGAAGTAGTGGAGGACAAGGTCATGGATGTATCTCAAGTGGTCAGTCCTCTGGGTATGGTCAACATGAGCCTAGCTCCTGTAGCCAGTCTTCTAGTCAGAGAGGATATGGATCTAGAGTGTGTGGTCAACCACAGAGCTGTGGAGGACAACAGGGAAGAGGTTAAAGTCAATCTTCTAGCTGTGGACGATATGGGTCTGGAACAAGTCAGTTTTCTAGTTATGGTCAACATGGTCTAGTTCCCATAGACACTCTTCGAACTCTGATCAAAAAAGGTCTGGTTCAAATGAATTTTCTAAATGTGATCAACGTGGGTCTGGCTCTGGTCAGTCCTCTGTGGTAGGCCAATGTGAGTCTGGCTCTGCTCAGTCCACTGGCTTTGGCCAACATGGGTCAAGATCAGGTCAGTCCTCTGGCTTTGGCCAATTCGGGTCTGGCTCAGGCCAATCCTCTAGCTCTGGACAACATAGATCTGGCTCAGGTCAGTCCTCTGGCTTTGGGCAACATGAGTCATGCTCAGCTCAGTCCTCTGGCTTTGGCCAACACAGGTCTAGGTCAGGTCAGTCCTCTGGCTTTGGCCAACATGGGTCTAGCTCAGATCAGTCCTCTGGCTTTGGCAAACATGAGCCTAACTCAGGTCAGTCCTCTGGCTTTGGCCAACATGAGTCTAGCTCAAGTCCGTCCTCTGGCTTTGGCCAACACAGATCTAGCTCAGGTCAGTCCTCTGGCTTAGCCAACATGGGTCTAGCTCAAGTTAGTCCTCTGGCTTTGGCCAACACAGGTCTACCTCAGGTCAGTCCTCTGGCTTTGGGCAATATGAGTCATGCTCAGCTCAGTCCTCTGGCTTTGGCCAACACAGGTCTAGCTCAGGTCAGTCCTCTGGCTTTGGCCAACATGGGTCTAGCTCAGGTCAGTCCTCTGGCTTTGGCCAACATGAGCCTAACTCAGGTCAGTCCTCTGGCTTTGGCCAACACGAGTCTAGCTCAGGTCCATCCTCTGGCTTTGGCCAACACAGATCTAGCTCAGGTCAGTCCTCTGGCTTAGCCAACATGGGTCTAGCTCAGGTCAGTCCTCTGGCTTTGGCCAACACGTGTCTAGCTCAGGTCAGTCCTCTGGCTTTGGCCAACATGGGTCTACGTCAGGTCAGTCTTCTGGCTTTGGCCAACTCAGGTCTAGCTCAGGTCAGTTCTTCAGCTTTGGCCAATGTGGCTCTGACTCAGGCCAATCCTCTAGCTCTAGACTACATAGATCTGGCTCAGGTCAATCCTCTAGCTTTGGACAACATGGATCTGACTCCGTCAGTCCTCTGGCTTTGGACAATATGGGTCAAGTTCAAGTCAGTCCTCTGGCTTTGGGAAACATGAGTCTGGCTCAGTGCAGTCCTCTGGCCTCGTACAATATGGGTCTAGCTCAGGTCAGACTAGCTTTGGTCAACATGGTTCTAGCTCAGGGCAATCCTCTTGTTTTGGCCAACATGGATCTGGCTTAGGTCAGTCCTCTGGATTTGGACAACATGGGTCTAGCTCAGGTCAGTCTAGCTATGGTCAACATGGTTCTAGTTCAGGGCAATCCTCTAGTTTTGGCCAACATAGATCTTGCTCAGGCAAGTGCTCTAACTCTGGCCAACATGGGTCTAATTCAAGTCAGTCTTCCAGTTATGATCAACATGAGTTTAGTTCAGGTCAACCCTCTGGCTATGACAAACATGAATCTAGGGCAAGTGGACAAAGAAGCTGTGGTTTTAGTTCAGGCAAAAAGCATCCAACATTAGATTCCCCACACAGTCAGACAAGCAGCCAAGAAAGAACTACTCAGAGTGATAATAAAAGAAATAGGGGTCACAGTACATCAGGAAGTGAGTCTGAAGATCATGACAGCATTCACAGACATAGGCAACAAAGGCAAGGATCAAGTCAGGAAAGGAGAGCTTCCAGAAGATAGGAAACAACACATAGCCAATCAAATGACAGTGAAGGTGAGTCAGGTAACTTGGAGAGATATTCAGCATCTACCTATGGGCATTCTAGAAATGAGCATGGACAATCAAGATCTAATACAAGTAGAAGAAGACCAACACATGGACACTCAGAGGACAGCACTGGACATTCTGGTTTAGATCATGGACATACAGCAACGACCCATAAACAGTCAGGATCTAGCACAAGAAGACAAGAATCTACTTCTGGTCAGTCAAGGGATGTCACCACACATACACAGACTGGTCATGAGCAATCCACACAGTCAGGGTCCAGTAGGATTGGCAGAAGGGGATCTAGCCACAGCGAGTTTAGTGACAGTGAAAGGCATTCAGGAGTCTCTCAGAGACTCAGGATCCACTCATGGACAGGCTTGGTATCAACATGAAGAGTCAAGATCCACACTTGAAGGGAGACAAGGAACTACTCATGGACAGTCAGGAGAGACCACTAGACAAGCTCAGTCTAGTCATGGACAATCCACATGGTCTGGCTCCTGGAGCAGTGGCAGAAGGGGATCTAGTCAAGGTGAGTCTAGTGACACTGAAAGGCATTCAGGAGTCTCACAGAGACATTCAGGATTCAGTCATGGCCAGGCTGGATCTCAACATGAAGAGTCGAGATCCACAGTTGAAGGGAGACAGGGAACTACTCGTGGACAGTCAGGAGACACCACTAGACATGCCCACTCTGGCCATGGATAATCCACACAGTAAGGTTCCAGCAGGAGTGGCAGAATGGGATCTAGTCACAGCATGTCAGTGACAGTGAAAGGCATTCAGGAGTCTCACAGCGACACCCAGTTTCTACTCGTGGACATTCTGGGTCCTCCTCAAAACAGTCAGTTACCAATACAACCAGAAGACATGAATCCAGCAATGAACATTCAGAAGATATCTCTAAACACTCAATATCAGATCAAGAGCAGACACCTACTCATAATCCATCAGGATCTAGAACTGCATGGAAATGGGTATCTACCCATGGGCAGGCAAGAGACAAATCTGCACACTCAGGGTCTGCTCATGGGCAGACCACATCTACCCATAGACAATCACGATCTGGCACAATAGAGAGCAATGGGCCCAGCCATACACAGTCACATGATACTCATGTGCAGTCAAGAGATAGCACAAGGAAACATTCAGGTAGCAGTCATTACCAGTCTGGAATAAGTCATTCTCAGTCACCGCTTAGTGGAAGACAAAGATATGGATCAGGTCAAGGCTGGAAACATGGCAGCTATGGAAGTGCAGATTATGACTATGGACAGTCTGGGTACAGACCTTCTGGGGACAGCAGAACAAGTAGGAGCAATTCTAGCCCTTTGAGGTCAATGGATAGAGCTGCAAACAAGCAAGTGTCTAGACATGGAAAATCAGTTTCTAGTTCTGACCATACAGGATCAAAAGCAACTGAAAGAACAGGAAGACAAGATTCAAGTCGTGGACAATCAGAGACAAGTCATGGGCAGTCCATTGATTCCCATAATCATTCTGGATCCAGTATAACTAGAAGGCAAGGATCTAGTCATGGACATTCACTAGTAACTCATGAAAAGTTAGGTGACACTCATGTTCAATCTGGAAGGCAAAGATCTACTCATAGCCAGTCAAGCAACCACTCTGTGTCTAGCCATGGACAATCCATATCACCTCACAGCCATTCAGAATCTAGTTCAACTAGAAGGCAGGGATCCCATAGTGATAGCATAGGGCATGCAGAAGATTGGGGGGAAACAGATTCATGAACAATCAGGATCTAGGCATGGACAATCAGAATTCAACACAATAGGTATACACAGATCCAGCCAGCAGCATTTCAGTGATACATCTTCTCATGAGCGGGTAAGATCTGGCACAAGTTTAGCAAGACAGGGATCAAGTCACGGACAATCAGAAGAAATCCAGGGTCAATCTGGATTCCACATCAATAAAAGACAAGTACATAGCCATGGCCAATCAAGTGACAGCTATGGTCAGTCAAGTGACAGCAGAAGCACAAGTCAAAGCTCCATTTCTAGTCACTCTCTTGATAGCCAAGACCCTACAGGAACTGAAGAGTACAGCTGTAGGTATTCATCAAGCAGTACAACCACACAGAGTGGGGAAAGGCAAAAGCAAGAGTCAGGATCAAGTCCGTTAGGGAGCATCAAAAGATACAGTCAGGATGTGGATGATAAGCAGACAAGAGACTCTGAGACCAAAGGTTACCATGGAAGGGAGAGAACAGACTCGGGGTCCTTTCACTTAGATAGCAACACCCCACTCTATGAATATGTCCAAGAACAAAGGTGCTATTACTTTGAATAATAACAAAGGTGCTATTACTTTGAATAATAATTTGAAGCCAATAGAAAACAAACTAACTCTAGATAAAAACTAATCCAAAGAAGAAATGTGACACACAACACGGAATTAAGATATTTAATATGATCCCTTCTTTTGGTACTGGGGGGGTTTGTCTGTTCTTTCAGCTGTAGCACTGTACTCTATTCCTTTCATTTGGTCCAAAGCTTTTTTTGTAAGCCTCCATAATCATTGAGCTCTTTGATTAGAAAATAGTGAATGGGGGCCGGCCCGGTGGCTTGGTGGTTAAGTGCGCGCGCTCCGCTACTGGCGGCCCGGGTTCGGATCCGGGGCACGCACCGACGCACCGCTTCTCCAGCCATGCTGAGGCTGCGTCCCACATACAACAACTAGAAGGATGTGCAACTGTGACATACAACTATCTACTGGGGCTTTGGGGAAGAAAAAAAGGAGGAGGATTGACAACAGATGTTAGCTCAGAGCTGGTCTTCCTCGGCAAAAAGAGGAGGATTAGCATGGATGTTAGCTCAGGGCTGATCTCCCTCACAAAAAAAAAAAAAAAAAAGAAAATAGTGAATGGAAGAAGTAAACAGCATTTGGAACTATATTCAGAATGATATGACAAAGTGATTTGGATGCTTTGGGATAAAATGAGCATTCTTTAAAATTTCTGAGACTCAAATTTTGGATTTTCCAGATTTTGTTTTAGTTGATTATTGGCAAACCTATCCAGGGAGACAAGAGACATGCTTTAGGAGCCAAAATTTCTCTGATAACATTGTAACACATTCCATCTCCTGAGCAAAGATTGTTGTAGTAGTTGAAGATTCAGAATATATGCATCTTTTGTGCCACCACTGGAACTCTGTACTACTACTTTTGAATTTATTGTCATGACCTCCTTGTATTGCAAAAAAATTGACAATAAATTTTCCATCAAGATATAGTTTCTCTTCTCTTTCATCCTCACAAACCATAGCTCCCTGCCATGGGGTCCGATGCACATTTCTTTCTTCTACGTCTGGACGCGTAGATGGCAGTGAAGCACTCAGATACCAATAACAGGGAGTCCAAAGAAGGCAAAACTCAACCATATCTGATCTTTTTCTCAATCTAATCACTGTCCAAAGCATTTACAGGAAAAAATATTTTATACTGAGGAGTTGACCTCAGATGGTTTGGTTAATCATGATCATCACAGCAATCATTATCAAACATAACCCCAAGTGGCTGTTTCCTGAGACAATCTAAGCTCTGGAAATAAGGATTTTGCAACATGGACTTTCTCTGATATTAATTGAAATATTCCTCCCAATGGAGGCTAATGGGGAAGTTTCCAGCTGAAGAAAAACAATTAAAAATATACTTCTGCCTAGGCAGAAAAAATACATGAATTCATTGTGAACGGCAAGAGACATAACAAGGAGTAGAAAAATATGTATGAAACATACTAACTTCAATAGAAAGTCTACTACTATAAAACCCAAGGAAAATGTCCAGAATGTCAGAACTAGTAAGGACATTAAAGATCCTACCTTCATCTTACAGATTAAAAGAAAAAAGTCAAAGCAATGCATATTTAACTAATCAAAAAAAATGATAATTCCCTAAATCAGAATTTGGTGCTCCACCATCCTCCCCTCTCTCAAAAACTCAAGCTACTTTTCTTCCACTTTCACTTTTGGAATTTAAACTAAAGTGAAATTCAGCAATAGGTGTTCAAGATCACAAGCCCTTTTTGGGGGCAGATGTTGTATGAAAAACCAGAAAATAGGCTCATTCTTCTGATTAGACTCAGAACATATTCTACCTAGTTTTTTTTTTAAAGATTTTATTTATTTATTTTTCCCCCCAAAGCCCCAGTAGATAGTTGTATGTTATAGCTGCACATCCTTCTAGTTGCTGTATGTGGGATGTGGCCTCAGCATGGCCGGAGAAGCGGTGCGTCGGTGTGCACCTGGGATCCGAACCCGGGCCGCCAGCAGTGGAGCACGCACACTTAACCGCTAAGCCACAGGGTCGGCCCCTCTACCTAGTTTTTAATATTTTATTTTAAGAAGGACTATACAAACTTTCAATCATGCTAGATGATCAACAGAACACTTGTCATATTAGTTTATTAGTGATAAGAAATAAATTATTTTTATACTATTAACAATACACACAAAAACTGAGTTATATGAGAGTTAACCCTAAATAGTAACCAATTCATACAAATCTTTCCATCACCAGTCATTGAATAAATACAAATTATCAAAGAATCATTAGAAAATTAAGTATTATGTTTAATCTCATCCAAACAATTTCTATTGTAGGTAAAGTAAATGACACTCAAGGAGATTAGCTTGCCCATATCATGCAGTTAATTAGATGTGCTGTTGTGACCAGGATATAGGTTTCTGATTCTCAAACCAAAGTTCTTTCCACTCTGCCA